TATATATTTGGTGACTCTAAAGTCTAGGCTAGGCATAAGCAAATGTGATGCAGGACTAGAGAAAATGGCAGGGGTCAATCACGATGGCCCCATAAGTCAAAACTAAGCTTGAGTTGTTTTTCTTAATTACAGTAAAGCATTGAAAGGGATGACATGAGTCAGGAGGGTGCTTTCGAAGTCTACCTTTGGGCCACACTAAGTCAAATGAACTAGAGGCAAGAGACAACACGACGGGCTGTTGTAATATCAACTGGGCACACATTTTAATACCTGGCTGCAGGCAGGTAGAGAGCAACAAAGCTATCTGCCCCTCCCCCCCAAGAGCAGTGTCTTCCTTTTATATGGATGGAAAGAAGGCAGGTAGAATGATTTAATACACATCTGTGGTCACAGCTTTCTGGTGGTCTCATACTCAGTGGGGAAAGTGAAGTGAAGTACTGGTGTACATTTTTGGGTGTCTTTAGCTGTCCCCAGAGCCTGCAAAATGCCTTGCCCTATCTTATTTCTTCCACAGCATCCTGCGCTTGCCAATGGCAGCCTCAGGTGCTGAGCTGCATTCCTTGAAGAAAGTAGTGCTTCTGGGCAGCACTGCCTTCCCTCCTTAGTGATGTGCCTTCAGACATGAACAGATGGACTAGCAGCAGCAAAGGCCAGCCCTGCACCCACAGGCACAATGTTCTGCACAGAGGAATTTCACCCCAGAATCCTTTTCTCTTCTGTCAAATGCAGTTCTTCCTTCATAGGGGTCTATGAATTGCATGGACTCACGTCTAACCCACAATACTTCAACGTGGTTTAACCAAGAGGGAACCTCCTTAACCTAATATACAAATGAATAATTAAAAGCAACTTTTCTGTCCTCCCATACAGCTAAGAAACTATGGTATTTTTAAAGTGAGATAGAAGAGAGAGAGACAGAGACAGAGAGAAAGACAGAGAGACAGAGAGAGTCTACAAGGTAAGACTGAAATATGGTTAGATTTGGGTAGAGATTAGAAAGCTTCCTGAGCTTAAGAGACTACTTTACACAAAGTGCTTTGATTGGTAGAAAATACACAGGAATGAAAACACTGGTAGTTTCAATTTAGAGTTAGAATAGATTATGAAGTGAATCCTTCCAACATGTAGAGATTAAGGAAGTAACAGTGAAACAGAACCAGTCTGAGAAGTTGAAATGTTAAGATTTTCCAGGGTTAGGGAGACTTCTTGTACTCCAGGCACTATCCAAAGACGCTCTGGGGGAGACAAGAGTTCCAGAACAGAATAAGAGACAGTCCCCAGGGGGAGGAAAGCCTTGTGGTAATGGACCAGCACAGAAGGGAATTGGCCAATGACCTGGGTGAGGTTTGCGAAGAGGCCACATAAGCAGAAAGCCCCAAATGACACGCAGAGCTGCACGAAGAGTTGGAGCAAGCAGCACCTCACATATCAAGGTTAGTAAACTTCCCAGAAAAAAGACTGAATGTGGCCAATGTCATGGTATAAATTACTAGTATGAGAAAGCATGGGATCTGCTGGTAAACCTACATGATAGAGATACAGCAGAAAAAGAGGTCTACTGGGAACATCTATGATTAGTTGAGTCATTGATGCTCTCTAACTCTGTGCCTTTAATGAAGGATGTATTTTTACTATAAAGGTGCTACTTAAGTTTCTTTCTCAGGCTGCTTCTAGAAGAGTGACACTATAAATCTGATAGTATAGTTCTTGGGGATATAAAAATTTAGTTGATTTAGTGTCTGCACAACTAGGTTTAATTTTTTTTCTTTCAAGAAAAACTCAGTAACAACAAACTTTAACAAATGTAGACTATGCAAAGAATTATTATATTATGTAAGTTTTGGAAAATATTTTTTGTTCAGGGTTACACAGCTAATATTTATGGGTTTGCAAGCCAAATCATGTCTGCCATAAAGCAAAAGTGCTCAACACGAAAGCAGCTTCAGAAAATAAACAAGAGAGAACAACTTTGCTTTGGGAAAAGGAGTCACAGAATCAGACAAGGGGCTGGGTATGGCCTGTGGGGCATATTCTAGGACTCAGTCTTAGAGAATCCTTGCTGAACACAATCTACAGACCCTGATTGGGAGGGAAAGGGGTTTTATTGGTCGTTGAGAGATTGTGTAACCCCTGGGGGTAGGTCTGGATTGCCTGAACTCCTAAGAGTACCTTGGTGGAGGGGACACTCAGTGTGCCTTCTCAGGAAGATTGTTCTTTGCTGATTCATTGGGACAGAGAACAGCAACCTAGTTTAGAAAGAAGAGATTATAGATAGCAGAAGCAATGAAACTGAAAAGATAAGTTTCTTTGTGTGCAGATAGAAAACAGTGTGTCTGAACATGGTCAGGCAGGTCACCAGATGACTGAATTCAGAGACAAACTCATGAGATGGAATCAAGTTCATACAGGTAGTAGAGACTTCTTAAATAGTAGAGAAATCCAGTAATATTTTGATTTATAGCTCCTTTGAGGACAAAGTTTTTTTAAACAGACAGGCCTATTAGGAAAAAAAAAACAACTTCAAAGCCAAAACCCCTTCATAAATCATGCAAAAAGAAAGATGATTGTGATACAGCAAAAATAGCTCAAGTGCATTCTCTATTTGTCTTTGGTTAGATGTTGATAAATGGTGCTCATCCTTAGCACACTTGTAACAGAGGAACTTCACCTTCAGCCAAAAGTCTTTCTGTGCCTTTCCTATGAGTCAGTTGCACAACCCAAGAGGACTTAAATTCTCTTCATCTCTCGGCTAACTCAGTATTGGATGCCTTGGGTATGAAGGGACTGGAGAGTTAGTCTTAATTAGGACCCTGTCTGGAAATTCCTCCCACACACCAGACAGCTTACTCCTAGGGGAGGAGGTACCTTTATGGCCTGTTTGGGGGAGCTTCAGGGAGTAACGGGCACTCTACTACATCTAATTTATTTCTTGTGTTCCTCTTCAATTCCTAAAACTTTTTCTTAGTGTATGTTTACAGTAAATATGTTCACATTTCTTGCATCGAGTTGGTACATATATATAATACATTTTAAATCCTTTTTCCAATCCCCTTCGCCTTCCTTTCTTATACTTCTCAATCCCTTCCTATTGGAGAAACATCCATGCCCTCACTTCCTATTATTTATCTTTTGTTCTGCTCTTTATTTATATCTAGGTAATGCCATAGATTTTTCTTTCTCTTACCCTTCTTCTACCTGTTCCTCTACCACATTTTACCCAACCTTGACCTCTTTCTTTTCCTAAGTGTACTCACAAATACATGCACACATATACAGCTGGCCACACACACACACACACACACACACACACACACACACTTAAAGAGCATTTTGTAAGCATTGAATGACTTTTATGTCTTAGATTTTTCTCTGGCAGCCTAGTCCATTTGCATTATTTTTTTCCAGCTATTATTGTGAGCATGTTATGTAAAATGAATCACTGGGCTCAGTGCTTAAGTGCACAATGGGCCTCAGTGTGTATCTGGGGACTGGGGTGATGGGGGGGATCAAGCAGTATCAATACATACCTGGGCAACCGTGGAATGTGGAGCCTTCTGCACCTGGAAGGTGTCCCCTTGCTAGTCACCAGCAGTTATTTTTAAAGGTGAAATTTATGTTACACAAAATTAACATTTTGAAGAGTATGATATAGCAGCACTTAGTACATATATAACATTCTGCAGGGGGCCAGGGAGATGGCTCAGTGGAATAAGTGCTTCCCTGGCGAGCACAAGGGCCTGAGTTGAATCCCTGGTTCCACAAAAAAAAAAAAAAAAAAAAAAAAAAAAAATCTGCAGCTATCACCTTTATGAAGTTCAGAATGGTTTCATTATGCTGCAACAAAATTTTGTCTCTTCCAAAGTCACACACATTCCCATCTGCACTGCTCCCTCGAAGCTACCAAGCTGCCTGCATTGTTGTAGTTTAACTTATGGATATTTCATAGGGAAGAGATGCCACCATGTTTGACCTTCGGTGTCTGCTTTCTTTCAATGCAGTATTTTCAAGTTTCATTCACACTGTAATGTGAATGGAACTTCATTCCCTTTTAAGGCTGAATATTCCCTCATCTGGATATACTGAATCCGCTCATCCATTCAGCTATCAGCTGACATTTGGGCTGTTTCCTCTTTCTGGTTCATGTGACTCATTGTGCTATGAAGGTAGTAGTACCTGAAGAGAAGGGTTTTGTTCTGCTTTGTACTATATTTACTTCCAGTTCCTTAGGAACTGAAATAAGTAAAACTACTGGATCATATGATAATCCCATTAAATTTTTTTTTAAAAAAATGTATTTAGGACAGTGTCTACAGAGTCTCCCTACACAGATGGGACTCATAGTGATCCTCCTGTTTTCAGCCTCCCAAGCACGGGGATTGAAGATGCATGCAACACGCCCAGTCTCAGCCACCCTCTCAGCTCGCCCGAGGAGCAGGGCCCACACATCATGCCAGGACTTGACCCCCAGCCCCGGCATCTGCCTAACTAGGAGCTTTAGTTTGCTGAGTTATCTGGCCAGCCCTTGCTATTAAATTTTTGAGGAATTGGCAAACTGTTTTCCACAACAGCTGAACCATTTTACATTTCTACCAGCAGTGTACAAAGGTTCCAGTTTTGGGCTGGGGAATGCAGCTCAGTGGCACAAGCACCTGCCTGGCAAGAGCAAGGTCCAGAGTTTGATACCTGGAACCGCAATAAAACAAAGCAAAACAAAATACAACTGTTCCAATTTCTCCATAACATGATTATTTTCTATTTTGAATTTTTTAATCTTTTTTATTTTAAAGAGAATAAAAAATTTAAAAAATTAAAAAATTATACAGAATTTCAAAACAAGATGATAGGAAATCAGCAGTGGTTTTTACATTGCATATTGTTATCTTCATGTTGACATGCAATGGGGGTAGTATTATTTTATTTTATTTATTTTAGAGAGAATAAAGCATAATATTTTTAATCTTTTATTTATTTGATAAAAGGTCTTGCTACGTATCTTGGACTTGTAGTGATCCTTCTGTCTCAGCCTTCTCAGCTCTGGGATTATCAGCATGTACCACCATGCCCAGTTTTGGTGGCTGGTTGGGCACCTGGGGCTGCCATGACATGAGGTACTAGGGATCGAACCTGAGTCCTTGCACTTGCCAGCCAGGCAGCCCAAAAAATAATTAGAAAAATTAGAAACTATACAGAATTTCAAAAAATAAGATGAAAGCTTCTCCTCTGAAGGGTTAATAACCTAAGTTTGCAGACCAAAAATTAGAGAAAAAGAAGGGCTGCAAGGACAGCCAACATTTTGGCCCTAGCCTTTCAAGGTCAGTGAGGACTCAGGACATAGGAGAACCTGTACTGTAACATCATGTAACTCAGTAGTGTCCCAAATTTTCTGATCAAGGAGATCATGGGGCCACAGAGGAAAGTGATTGATGATGGACAGTGTGCCTAAGGAGAATCACATGGAGAGAAAACATCCTCTCAGGCTTTCACAGAGAGCAAATTGGCTAAGCAATGTCTGTGACTCATCCACATGGCTAACACTGACAAAGGATCTACAAACAGCAGTACAGGGTTTCAGGGTAAATCCTGAAGTGATTTGACTGACCTCAGCAGGTACAAAAGTCACATTTCTTGTTATATAGGTCTTGCTTTATCTTGGTCTTAACCATCCAGCCGAAAAGTGTAAAAACAAAGTGTACAAAGTAAAGCCATATTAACAGGCTGAATTATAAAAGGCTCAAGTCAACAACTTCTGATATTGCCAGTTCTATGGAAAACCCACTACTATTATGGACTACTGGACTATATTGGAACATTTTGATGAATTTATTCACCTACAATATTTAAATGACAATGGGATACTCATCTCTGACAAAACTAAACAAAAAAGGGGATACAACTGAATTGTATTTTGCATCTGTATACTCAAAATAGGATAGATATACAGCTACTTTCTCTTAATTCAATGAGTAGAAAGATTGTACTAATAGTGTTTGTGGACAGGATATCATGTCTGCATCTTGTACAATAATAAGCACTAAGAAGACAACAATATGCAATGTATTAATTATTGAAACTGTCCTACTAATCAGTTTTGGAAAAAAAATAAATTCTCTTTCTGCAAAAAAACAAAAACAAAAACAAATGAAACATGATAGGAATTCAAAAATGGTTGTTATATTGAACATTGTTGTCTTCAAAGTAGTTATTTATCCCTAGAGAAGTATGTAGCTGTATTTATTTCCTCTTCTGTCTTGAGATATGGCTCCATATTGGAATGCTGTCTCTTCTAAGTTGCAAAATCACCTTGGCTTTCGTCTTGTCACTTTGAGGGCTTGGCTCTACCTGACTGCCTATAATATTTCTATCTGATTTAGCTGCCTACAACATTCCCCTCTCTGAAGAAGTAACCTGAACTGCTATAAAGGAACCATGGACG